AGCAGCCTCGCACCGAGGACCTATCAACGTCATCATTTACCCAGAATGCTTTGCGTGTAAATAAAATGGCCCCGTCCGTGTTAAAATATATTTTTAAACTTTTAGTTTAAAAATTATAAAAACTGAACATCCTACAGTATTTTTACAGTCTTTATTTTACAGTTAAAATATACAGTATGTTTATTAAATAACGTCTAATGTTACAACTAATCATGGATCCCTTTAATGCGATGACACGGAGGAGGATTGCGTTGTCATATTTTTGAAAAGAGTAGGAAATGCACAACAACTAACCGTCCCAGACCCTAACCCTAACTTCTATCAGCCCTAGACAACCTACCCCCAAAAATTCACCATTCATCCTGATACGTCATACTAACCACAGACCCTCAAACCAAAGACCCCTATGTGGTGCAACATGGAAAAGACATGGTTGTGAATAACTGACCAGAGGAGGTACCCGACATGGTGAAACTGGACTCAGATGATACCTGACCAAGCATCAATACGGTGACGAGTCAGGAGAGAGAACGTGTTGCATGATGACCTTATAACCTCTTCAGGCTCTTCCTGGTTACACCCCTGAAGGTGGTAACTTTTACCTCACACGTCAGAACCTAACTCGTTTTTGTTTAGTAACTCATTTTTAACTTATATTAGTCCATATTGTATATCATCTTATAATATTTTCCTGTAATATCCTAAACACCATATCTTAATCTTATCATATTTGACTTTATGTTTTCCTACAGCTTCTCGTGCCTCATCTTCTTTTATTTGTAATCTTACATCATATCGTTTCATCATGTACAGTATATCTCATCTTAATCAAAAATATCTCATCTCATCTTTAGAAATGCTAAAATACTGCTTTTTAACACAACAGTGCTTAAAGTTAACTGACTGATTATGTTTCATGTTGGACGTTGTTACAAAAGTTTTTATCTTTAAAACCAGGCGGCGTGGCGCAGCACATTCAGATGCTGCAACGGCTGATCAACCCCTCTGCTCCTCAGTGAGTAGAAACATCATCAGTTTGACAATATGTGGACTCATAGCTCCTGTTCATCATCCAACACATTTATTTCAACAAAGGACATGAACACAAAATATGTAAAGGCATATTTAAAACAGGATGTGACAGAATACCTTGTTTTGTTTACATACACAACATTTGTTAACTGGATTAAAATGTTTTCCWGTAGTTTGCTGAAACTGGGAGAAACAACAGACTGTAACAGTTTTATATTTGTATTCTGCATCAAGAACAACTGTAATAATTTACATTTTCTTTCTCCTTTCCAGGGACAAACAGGACATTTCTAGAATGCTGGGTTGATTCAAATGTGTGGCAATTAAAAGAAAACAACTGCAAGAAGTAAAAATGCAAAAGAAATGTATACTTCATCTACAAAATACAAGTCATATATGTCATTTATTACAGTGGACACAACTCAGGCCACTCATTCTGAATATTCATCTATAAATAAGACTGTCCAGATCAAATAAATGTTTATAATATGCTGTTGTTTGGACATTTTATCCTTCATTATGCATGGAAAGTAATTTGAATAGTCTGCACTTTTGAGTCTAAAATGTGAAGTTTATCATTTACACATCACACAGTATCAATATACAAATATGACATGCAGTATTTTTACTCTGTAAAAAGATAAAAATAAAAGCATTGTTTCAACATAATCGGAGTACCTGCCTCCTCTTGTTTTTGTTATAAACAAGCCTATTTAAAATATTAGCCCACTCAAAGCTGGAAGTTAGTGTTTGTGCCTGTGTGCGTCACCTATTGTGTGCTTAATTGTCTGCAAATGACTTCTTGGCCCCCTTTGTTACGATTTAGCAGCAACACAATTTAATCCTTCTATTCTGTTTATGTTTATCTGTCAAGCTGTCAGCAGATGGGAGCAYCCAGGTGAAGCTCTTCTCTTCTTTATATTCTGCTGCTAAAAACAGGGGCTGGCTCTGAAACACAAGGAACACAGCTCTGCACCTTTTACAATGAAAAGAGACATTTCTGAGCCTCATCTCACTGATAAAAGGTCTCAGAACTGCAAAATGTGTGTGAAAAAATATAACAACTTATTGAAGTGTTCTATAAATCATATATATAAAACATTGTTTGTTAAGTAAGATAAGATAAGAAAAGATAAGATAAGATAGGATAAGATAAGATGAGGTAAAATAAGATAAGATAAGATAAGATAAGATAAGATAAGATAAAAGAAGATAAGATAAGATAAAAGAAGATAAGATAAGGTAAGATG